TGCTGTTGTAGGACTAATAAGTTAGAGATTCTCCTGATGAAGGATGAACACTAAATTAGGCCCTCCTTCTAGCGCCAAACTATTGATACGTGATTTTGACACCAACCAAACACACTTGTGAAATGCTGAGTAGGCCCAGGAGACACACGTGAATGTGAAAAATAAGAGTACATGCAATGAAAAACAGCGTTTAAAGTGGTTCGGATGCTAAAGAAGCGAATGTAACAACTTCTTTCTACTATCATATTCATAGAATATATCAATAAAAAGACAAGTATATTTATCAAAAAGGTTGGGTCCAAAAATTTTCTTTACTTAATAAATACATTCTTTACATAGTACAACATCATTTGTACAAAAGACTCTCAAAAAGACAGTGGACAGTGTAGTCAAGTCTCCCCGCTTGCCGACGTCCATCTGACCACATCCTCACCTATGTCCTGAAAAACAGAGAAAACAATGGGGTGAGCACAAAGATGCTCAGTAAGTAAATCTTCTATTCTATAATCCCCGTACAAATCTGTTCGTACTCTTGTTACTCGCTCTAGTTCAATCTCTCTTGTTCTTTCTCTACTTCTAAATCTTACCATTCTTTTCTTTCTTTCTATTCTCATCACCCATGGAGAATATCATAACCATACATGGATGAGATATTAAAGTATAACAATGCATTTTCTTTCTTTTTTTTTTTTTTTTTTTTTTTTGTCGGTCTTGGTCGATGCATGGATTTGGAACCATTGGTCATGTGAGTGTACTCTCTCTCGTGTATAGCCCTCATCCGCATGTATTCTCACGGCTATACAAATTTTGTTTCTCATTTTCATTCCGCTCTCTCATGGCGAAGACCGCTCTCTCTCTCATAGCGGTTTACATGCGGGTAACTCTACACTTACGGGTTCCCCATCGCACGACCTATTTTCTTTTCTTTTCTGTAGCACTTAATAATCATTTTATTCTCTAGTGCTAGTTCTTTCTTTCTCTTTATTCTAAGAGAATTAGTCTTTTCTTTATCTCTACTCATAGAGTGTTTCTTTCTCATTTGTCATATTTCTTTCTCATGTGATTACTCAATTAAACATATGCATATGGATGGCTCATGCCTAAAATCTTTCTTATATGCATTCATGACATGCAAATATGCTATGTTGCATAAAGTAAGGTTCTCTACTTCTACTCATGTTTCTTTTAGACATTTCATCAAACAATATGTGTGCATACATAAACTCTATTCTAATTGTTAACGATATTTCTTTCTTAATCATCCAAAATAGGAGTTCAACTCCTTTAAAACATCATACATCCTACAAGGAAAACACACTTCAATTATTCCTCTCAAATCCTTCTAATTCTATCCACACTTCTACCAAACTTTAACAACACAATCCACCCTTCTCATGGTGGAAATTCTTTCATATAACAACATTGAACTCATTCATGAATTCATCACCTCATTTCAAACATAGAAATTCAAGCATTAAGCACATATATAAAATCTCTACACATCATTCAATCAACTTAGGTGAATTTACTTACCTTAAGCTCAAGGAGAAACCACTTAAGCTCTCTACTCTTGATGGCTTGATACTTCCTCTTAAACCTTCAATACAAACTCAATAAGGATCCTACTCTTTCAATAATAAAACTTACATCTAGAGTAAGGATTCTCACCTTTTAGTGCTTAGGATCAACTTGTAACAATTTCTAGTCAAAAGCTCTTCAAAGTTCCTTAGAAAATTGAATGAAAATTTGAGAGAATTGAAGGATGAAAGAGGCGGTGGTGGAGAAGCAACTGAAAGGGTTTCTAAAGCTAAACCCTTAATATCTCATATTTTCTCCACTCTTTCCCAATATACCCTGGCTCCTTCTTGGAAATTCCACCTAAGACCTTTCATTCTTTGCAAAAACAACCTCATTCAAACTATTCTCCATGCAATTTCCTTGCATTTTACTCCCCACTTTTCCTGCTAATTAGGGTAGAATGGTCACAGCAGCTACATGGGATGTAGCACTTCATCACTGCGGCGAAGCTTTCTTCTTCGCCCCGACAAAGACTGTAACATCCAGATTTCGTCAAGTCTTACAAATTTTTAGGGCATTCACTCAACCAAACCAATACACCCTTTCAACTAAGGATAAATCAAGCAATATTAACAACATACAGACTCAAATGAGGATAAATCAACAAACATTCAAGCCATTCATTAAATCTTAACTACGTACCTCAAGTGGGGCGTTACAGCGAATCCTACGTCCACTGATTTTTTTATTAATGATAGAGGTCAAGTCGCGTTAGCGGACTGACTTACAAATGATTGTACAAGAAAGAGAATGCTATATGTTTTTGAGAGAGAGTAGCTAATCCCACAAATGAGAGAAGAGCTCTCAATTTATAGTGGGACGGATTAAGGTTATCATTACTAAATCTGCGAGTTGGTGAGATTATCTGTGCAAATCTTTCTTTACGTCACATTGCCCACCTTCCAGAGTGATTTACGCGATTTAGTGCAGGGATTGGACACTTGGAATCACCATGGCTTCTGGCTGGCCTGGCGCGCACCCATTTTACTGACAAAAGTGTGCTGCTCAGGTCACCACGCGACGTGGCTGCTTCTAACTGGCTGCGGACCTACCTAAGCTCTAACCTTTTATGCTGACTGACGCTTGTGTCAACATTATATTTTTAGGCATAACAGAATCTTACCCTGCAAGGTCCCAAAACGAACCACCATGGCACTATGATTAGAGACATCTCGAGGCAAAAACTCAAAAACTGTGTTTGGCCAAACAATAAACCAAGAAGTATTACCAAAAATCCAATCCAACTTCGGAAGGATGACCCCATCTATATGTTGTTCATTATGCCAAGTAAATCGAAGTCCAGTGTAGGCATGCCAAATCAATTTACATCATGAATACACTGACCAAAACCATCCATATAGGCTGGTCAATCCGTGTTACCTCCCACCCTGTTTGAAGATCTCATAATATCATTGAAATCCCCCAGAACAATCCATGGCATAGAAAAGAAAACACGTGCCTCATCTCGAAGAAAATTCTAAAGCCAACAAAGATCGTTATAACCATAGACAAAGGTTACCCCAAAAACGAATCCATCCAAAATATGAGTAACCCGGCAATTGAGCTTCTGAGGAGAGACATGCAATCTACAAACACTATACAAACATGGATCCCGCCAAACTAAAATTTTGCAAGCAGCCGAATCTGAGGCATTCAACGAACCCAATAGATATAAACAAATTATGGGATTGATATATTCTGCCAATAGATCATCAAAGAGATGTGTGAAGCTGATGAATCAACCACAATAGATGAAGCACAACGAATCAATCAGAATTAACGCAAGAGTGTTATCAACTTTCAGATTTTATGCTTATTTTAAGGAAGGCACTTAGGAATTAAAATAAGCATGTTTAGTTTTATTAAAAGTGATTGTTATTTCTATTTAAATTAGTGTTATCTAAATTGACGACTGTTAGTGTTTATTTTACTGGTTATAATGGAGTGAGTTTGTCAGTTTATACGAAAGAAGAAAAACTTGTGACAAGTTTTCGTCCTCCCTCTTGTGTTTGGTTATTTGCCTGGTTTGATGTTATTATCTTATATTATTAAAATTTGATTTGATATTATTATGTTATATTTTTAATAATTTCTTTCAGAATTTAATTCCCACTTTAGTTTCACCTAACACCACCTAAATATTAATATTAGAATAATACTACGGACACCGATAATTTACACCAAATTTTTATACTGATGTACGTGGCATCCAATCAGACGCGGTCACGTCAGAGACAGCACATGTCTTCCGTGAATAAACGGTTGTCCATCAAATATGGACAAACGTTCATGATTGTTAGATAGCCGTTCATTTCAAATGGACTCCCATCCATCAACCTCGTATATATGGACGGGAGTCCATTTCCTATGGACGAGCGTCCACCTCAAATGGATGCTCATCCATAAATTTTAAAAGTATAATAATAGACGCTTGTCTATATGATATAGACTAACGTCCATTTAAAATAGACGGTCGTCCATTGAATATGGATGACCGTCCATGGGCAAACATAAATTTTTATTTACCTCGTACGGATACCAAGGGGCATCCATTTTCAATAATAATAATAATAATAACAGGTTTTTATTGGTCTCTGATATTGTCTCTAGTCAATAAAGAGTATTTCAAGATGAGCATTAAGCCATGGTAATAGTGTAATATAAAAATAGAAATTGCATTGAATTGAGCAAGAGGGCAAATAAAATGGAATTATTAATTGGTATTGCATATACATTGGTTAATAGAAATTTCATTTATTGTATATGGACGACCTTCCATAGAAGATAGATGCCCGTCCATTAATTACTCAATGTATATGGACGACTGTTTTTTAAATTTTCTGGACGGACGTCTATCTTATAATGGACACCCGTCCATGTAATATGGACATGAATCCATTGATATTTTTGTGGACACTCGTTCATTCATTATGAAGGGCATCTATGAAATATGAATAGGCATCCATAATTGTTGGACGACCATTCATTCATGGAAGATGTGTTTTGTCTTCAATGTAGATGCGTCTCACTAGATGCTATGTCATTTGATAGAAAAATTCAGTGTCCGTAGCATTAGTCTTAACATTAATGGTGTGTTTTAAACACTAATTTATGTAGGTGTTTTGACAAATAAAACTCTAATCTAATTGTAGTTGTTGTGTATTTTAGCCGACATAAAACTATAAAAGAGGTCGATAATATTTTCTTTTTCTTTAAATAGCATAAAGCCATAAATCTTGATTGGTAGGTTTTTTAAATTTATACAATACTAGAGATTTTTAAGATATGAATGAAGATATTTAAATTAAAAATATATAAGATAATAATTCTCATTAATCTGATGGTAATTCATACATACATGTGAATGTTAAGTCATATATATTATAATTATGACTTATTTAAGATTAACATATAAAAATGATTCAGACTTGAGCCATTTGTTTGACATTCATTGGGTAACAATCCGAAAGACCACCAGTGTAAGCCCTTTGAGCAACAATTTGATTAAAAGCTTGAGTTGGATGATAAGCATCCCAAAAGACGTATTGGTCTCTGTTGAAGCATGGCATTGCGAATGGTAGACATGTTATTTGCCCTCTATTTTTCCCAATTCCACAACATCCTTTATCTGTCTCGCTAAATCCTGCAGTAATTCAACAATTTTGCCATTGTTAGGACTACCAAACAAGTCTTTCTTATTTTCACTTGTGAAAAAAATGAAAAGAAGTAGACATGAAAAACCAAAAAACAAAAAATGATCGTATAAACTATTTGAAAGTATACCACCCTCAACATTGATTCTACATCGGGGAATAAAACTTCACCACAACAACGAACTCTAACGTTTGACCCACATCATCAGAAGGTTTTCAGACCAAGCTTGTTTGAATTTGTCTTTAATGAGGCATGGCAACGTGTCAGGACTGTTCAAGGAGGCGAGCCGCTCGCAAGCCGATCCGACTTGGCTCGAGTACGGCTCATTAACGGCTCGCCTCGTCTGGAATCGAGCTAGCTCGGCTCAATTCGTGAGAGAGTATGAGCCGAGTTCGAGCCTGCCTCAACTCAACTCGTTAGGCTCACGAGCCAAGCCAGGCTCGAATTATTAGGAGCGTTTTAGGAGTTTTATTAAGTATAGGGGATTAAATTAAAATTTTAAAAACAAAAAGTTTGTAAAAATGACAAAGAACACCGATGTTAAAATCCTTAAAAACGCGACTAAAATCATTTCCCTTAAAACCAAACCAAACCATTTGAGGCAAGTTGTGGGCATTAGATTTGGTGGAGAGTGCAGGAAAACAAGGAGAAAAAAGGAAAGAAATCAGAGTTGGTGGAGAGTGCAGGGGAAACAAGGATAAAGAATGAAAGAAAGAAAAAGAAAATAGGAAAAAAAAGGAGAAAGAAGGAAAGAAAGAGAAAATTTGTATGCTTTTTACTGGCTCGCAAGGGAAACAGGGAGAAAGAAAGAAAGAAAGGGAAAAATGAAGAAGAGAGAGTCGTGAGCAGAAAGAAGGAAAGAAAGAGAAAAAAGAAGAAGAGAGAATCGTGAGCACAAAGAAGGAAAGAAAGGGCAAAAAGAAGAAGAGAGAATCGTGAGCATTGGAGTCGAGAGAGAGAGAGAAAAGAAGAAAGCAATCAATGTGAAAGAGAGAGTGATAAATGAGAGAGAGAAAAGAAAGAGTAATAAATAAGTGAGTGAAAATCTGTGCCGAATTTAAAAAAAAAAAATTTGTTTGCTTTTTACTAGCTCATGAGCCAGGCTCAAATTTTTTTTTCTCTTTACGAGTAGAGTCGAGTCAGAAAATTAAAAGCTCGACTAGGACTCGGTTCGAATTATTATTATTTTTTTTTACGAGCCGAACTTGTTAAGTCAAAAACTCGGTTCAATTCTGCTCATTAACAATCCTAGTGTCTGTGCATGCTTTGCATGTTTCAACACAATCCTTCGTAGAGGAAGCTTGAGTGGGAGATTCTATTCTAAGGAATATTCTGACGCACAAAAAAGGTTGGAATTCAGTTCATCCATCACTAACATGGGCAATGTGTTAGCGAACAGCATGCAATCTCTAAGCCCCCATGCAAAACACCTTAAGTAACATAGATGTAGTACTCAAGGGTGGTCCCCCTTGACCTTGCAAAATTTTCATCTAGTATTCGTCATTTTTCATGTGATATTTTGCAAGTACATGTGATATTCAAGTTAACCCTTTTAGATTTTAATTTTTCATAAAGCACATTCAATATGTTTCTTTGCATATTCAATGCTTATTTTGATATCTTATATTTAATTGCACAAAGAATAAAAAAGAGTAAAGTTTTTATTTCTTTGCATATGCCTTTGATAATAATTTGTATTGGATGTTTCTTTCTAAAATTTGCTTATTGAATTTGTCTACAACAAATAGTTTTGTGTCTCAATATTTTTTTACAAAAAAAAAATTAAGAAATAAAATCATGATAAAATGTTCAATTTCATGACGAAATATAAACATGAAGGTCATCATTAATATTATCACAAATTGATAACAATTCAATATTTTATATTTTATTCAATATTCAAGGGGTCAAAATATGATGATGAAGTTACAATAAAGGCTACAGTATTTTACAATGAAAATTATCTAAATGAAACTTCAAAATACTTATTCTTAGGATTTCTACTATGACTTAATGTGACTATAGTTGTTTTCATGTTGGATCTATAAATTATTTATTGGTGAATTTCCATCATGACTGTGTTTTATACTTGTCAAGCACAACGATTAAAAAATATAAATTATATGTTATACCTAATAATATTTAGAATATAAATTTGTTTACGATTATAATGTAATACTTTGAGTCCCTATATTAAGCTTCTGGCTACATCCCTGATAAGTAACATCATAATTAATTAATTAATATAGTTGAAGATGAGTAGAGTTTCTCACCATAATCATCAGGTCGATTGAGTATATCAGTAAAAACTCCATAAGTATTGCCATAGACAAAAGTTGATGGCTTGGTGTGATTGGCGTTGAGTTGATCAACAAGAGAGATGAGTTTCTTGTTAAATACTTCAACCATATCGTTAATAAAAGCTACACACTTCCCTGGTGGTGCAACTCCGGTGGCTATTTGATTTGGCAAGCAACCAAGGGGTCCAACAGCTGCCAATAAGAATTTTCTCAAACCTAGATTGTGTAGCACCTGAACAAGATTTAAAACACAAAACCGCAAATTTTAGGGTTTGGTTTATCAAAGAAAACAATAGTATGTTTGATATAAAAGACTCGTACCGTTATATGTATAGCGTAATGATTGATGAGAAGATCAGCATAGTCTTGAGAGTTGTAACGAGAGCTGTTGGGATATAAAGAGGGAATGAGATAATTATTTATATAGTCATTGCTGCCAAGATTCATCACAACCAATGATTTTCCCAAGAATTCTTCCAATTTTCTTTCATCCATTTTTCTCTTTAATTGGCTCAATGTACTTTTAAAATTCTCCACCTGTTGACTCAGGCTAAACCTATCTCCCTGTTACACATATAAGAAAATCATCTATTTCTATTATTGTTTTTACTTAAACAAACAATATTTAAATCTAATCCTGATAGAAATAATATCAGAATGTTTTGACAAGAGATTTTACACACACACACACATATATGTATAAAATCTAATATATATTGTTAGATAAAAGCTTACTAGATTTCTTCCACTCTCATCAAGTATCCCAGCGGCCGCTGAAGCATAATTTACTCCCTTAAGAATGTCTCTTCCGAATGTGATAGTTGCTTCGAAAGGTGGAAGAAGAGGAAGACCAACCAAATCCCCTGCATGACCATAAAGGGTTTTACCATTTTGACTAATTAAAAAGAATATATAAAGGAGTTCAAGTAGTGAAATAAAAATAAAAATAAAAATTACCAAGAAAATCAATGATGGTTTTTCCATTAGAAAACCTGCCTGTAGGACCTGCATAGAAATCAATCCCATATGGCATAAAATCTGATCTTGCAAAAGATCTCAAGTAGTTGTTGTTTCCACAGTCGACCAAAGAATCTCCAATCACAAACATGGCTGGAAATTCTTCTGCTTCCACCACAGCACAGATCAAACATAGGCTTATAATTAATAGAAATATTTTTTCAGCCAAACCCGAGTTTGGTTTTTCCATGTTTAGATTTATTTTTTCTTTTTCTGTTTCGTATTAGAAATGAAAGTGGTGATTTGATTGTATAAAGAAAGATATGCATGAGATAAGAAACGTTCCTTTTGCTTTAAAAAAGAAAAGTTAAAAACGGTCTTGAACTAGCAATGGCACTTCTTCAGTTTCTTGCTTTTTTAGCACAGCTTTGCTTTCTTTTCCTGGCTTTACAACAATTTCCTCCATATTCTAAGAAAATAAAAAACATATCCGAAGGATTCAGATACTAATCAATACACTCAAAAAATTGATTGTTTTACCATAATACCTTTTGTCTAATTATATTTTCATTTTTCTTTATTTTTATTATAAATAGTAATATTTATCAACTAAATTTATGTAATTAATTATAATTAGAATAAATATATGAATATTTAGATTATTATTTAATTTTGTACAGTAAACAAAAAAAACCTAAATTTAATTAAATTACGTACTTAAAAAATGAATAAAATAAAATAGAAGAAGGAAGTATAATGAAGATAAATGATACTAAACTCTATTTAAAACAAAGTTTCAGATTCCTTTCAATTTTTGTATAGTTAAAATAAAAATTGAAAAGAATATATAATTAGAAAAAAAATGGTATTACAGTCTTTATTGATAAAAAGTAATGAGTTGTTTGGATGCATCTGTTAATATCGAAAAGTCTTGGGTGTGCTGAATTTCTCAAACCTTGAGGAGGAAATTGTAATGAGACCTCCTTTTCCCTATCCCTTTCCTTGTTCTGGTTTGCACCGAGTCATAAATAATGTTAATGTTTTGTCTTTTATTGTAGTTGTTAATGATTATGAGGTTTACATTTATAAGATGTGCTAGCATAATTTTTATTTGCTAGTGGTGGTTATATACGAACTCTTTTATCCTCTCAAAGTTTTATGAAATTAAAAAGCACCCAATTCATATGAAATCTTATGTTGGAAGGATAAAATGTGGCCAAATTACCTGAATCATACAATTAAAAACCCTCTTGCTTGCAAACCACCGCTCAAGTGGGGGTTACAGCGAATCCGACTCCACTGATTTTTTTATTAATGATAGAGGTCAAGTCGCGTTAGCGGACTGACTTACAAATGATTGTACAAGAAAGAGAAGCTATATGTTTTTGAAGAGAGTAGCTAATCCCACAAATAGAGAAGAGCTCTCAATTTATAGTGGGAACGATTAAGGTTATCATTACTAAATCTGCGTTGGTGAGATTATCTGTGCAAATCTTTCTTTACGTCACATTGCCCCCTTCCAGAGTGATTTACGCGATTTAGTCAGGGATTGGACACTTGGAATCACCATGGCTTCTGGCTGGCCTGGCGCGCACCCATTTTACTGACAAAAGTGTGCTGCTCAGGTCACCACGCGACGTGGCTGCTTCTAACTGGCTGCGGACCTACCTAGCTCTACCTTTATGCTGACTGACGCTTGTGTCAACATTTATTTTTAGGCATAACAGAATCTTACCCTGCAAGTCCCAAAACGAACCACCATGGCACTATGATTAGAGACATCTCGAGGCAAAAACCAAAAACTGTGTTTGGCCAAACATAAAAACCAAGAAGTATTACCAAAAATCCATCCAACTTCGGAAGGATGACCCCATCTATATGTTGTTCATTATGCCAAGTAAATCGAAGTCCAGTGTAGGCATGCCAAATCAATTTACATCATATACACTGACCAAAACCATCCAATAGGCTGGTCAATCCGTGTTACCTCCCACCCTGTTTGAAGATCTCATAATATCATTGAAATCCCCCAGAACAATCCATGGCATAGAAAGAAACACGGCCTGCTCATCTCGAAGAAAATTCTAAAGCCAACAAAGATCGTTATAACCATAGACAAAGGTTACCCCAAAAACGAATCCATCCAAAATATAAGATAACCCGGCAATTGAGCTTCTGAGGAGAGACATGCAATCTACAAACACTATACAAACATGGATCCCGCCAAACTAAAATTTTGCAAGCAGCCGAATCTGAGGCATTCAACGAACCAATAGATATAAACAAATTATGGGATTGATATATTCTGCCAATAGATCATCAAAGAGATGTGAAGCGATGATCAAATCAACCACAATAGATGAAGCACAACGAATCAATCAGAATTAACGCAAGAGTGTTTCAACTTTCAGATTTTATGCTTATTTTAAGGAAGGCACTTAGGATTAAAATAAGCATGTTTAGTTTTATTAAATGTTGTTATTTCTATTTAAATTAGTGTTATCTAAATTGACGACTGTTATGTGTTTATTTTACTGGTTATAAGGAGTGAGTTTGTCAGTTTATACGAAAGAAAAAAACTTGTGACAAGTTTTCGTCCTCCCTCTTGTGTTTGGTTATTGCCTGGTTTGATGTTATTATCTTATATTATTAAAATTTGATTTGATATTATTAGTATATTTTAATAATTTCTTTCAGAATTTAATTCCCACTTTAGTTTCACCTAACACCACCTAAATATTAATATTGAATAATACTACGGACACCGATAATTTACACCAAATTTTTATACTGATGTACGTGGCATCCAATCAGACGCGGTCACGTCAGAGACAGCACATGTCTTCCGTGAATAAACGGTTGTCCATCAAATATGGACAAACGTTCATGATTGTTAGATAGCGTTCATTTCATGGACTCCCATCCATCAACCTCGTATTATGGACGGGAGTCCATTTCCTATGGACGAGCGTCCCCCAAATGGATGCTCATCCATAAATTTTAAAGTATAATATAGAGCTTGTCTATTGAATAGACTACGTCCATTTAAAATAGACGGTCGTCCATTGAATATGGATGACCGTCCATGGGCAAACATAAATTTTATTACCTCGTACGGATACCAAGGGGCATCCATTTTCAATAATAATAATAATAAAACAGGTTTTTATTGTCTCTGATATTGTCTCTAGTCAATAAAGAGTATTTCAAGATGAGCATTAAGCCATGGTAATAGTGTAATAAAAATAGAAATTGCATTGAATTGAGCAAGAGGGCATAAAATGGAATTATTAATTGGTATTGCATATACATTTTGGTTATAGAAATTTCATTTATTGTATATGGAGACGCCTTCCATAGAATAGATGCCCGTCCATTAATTACTCAATGTATATGGACGACTGTTTTTTAAATTTTCTGACGGACGTCTATCTTTAATGGACACCCGTCCATGTAATATGGACACTGAATCCATTGATATTTTTGTGGACACTCGTTCATTCATTATGAAGGGCATCTATGAAATATGATAGGCATCCATAATGTTTGGACGACCATTTCATTCATGGAAGGTGTTTTGTCTCAATGTAGATGCGTCTCACTAGATGCTAGTCATTTGATAGAAAAATTCAGTGTCCGTAGCATTAGTCTTAACTTATGGTGTGTTTTAAACACTAATTTATGTAGGTGTTTTGACAAATAAAACTCTAACTAATTGTAGTTGTTGTGTATTTTAGCCGACAAAACTATAAAAAGGTCGATAATTTTTCTTTTTCTTTAAATAGCATAAAGCCATAAATCTTGATTGGTAGGTTTTTTAAATTTATACAATACTAGAGATTTTTAAGATATGATGAAGATATTTAAATTAAAATATATAAGATAATAATTCTCATTAACTTGATGGTAATTCATACATACATGTGAATGTTAAGTCATATATATTATAATTATGACTTATTTAAGATTAACATATAAAAATGATTCGACTTGAGCCATTTGTTTGACATTCATAGGGTAACAATCCGAAAGACCACCAGTGTAAGCCCTTTGAGCAAACATTGATTAAAAGCTTGAGTTGGATGTAAGCATCCCAAAAGACTTATGGTCTCTGTTGAAGCATGGCATTGCGAATGGTACATGTTATTTGCCCTCTATTTTTCCCAATTCCACAACATCCTTTATCTGTCTCGCTAAATCCTGCAGTAATTCAACAATTTTGCCATTGTTAGGACTACCAAACAAGTCTTTCTTATTTTCACTTGTGAAAAAAATGAAAGAAGTAGACATGAAAAACCAAAAACAAAAAATGATCGTATAAACTATTTGAAAGTATACCACCCTCAACATTGATTCTACATCGGGAATAAAACTTCACCACAACAACGAACTCTAACGTTTGACCCACATCATCAGAAGGTTTTCAGACCAAGCTTGTTTGAATTTGTCTTTAATGAGGCATGGCAACGTGTCAGGACTGTTCAAGGAGGCGAGCCGCTCGCAAGCCGATCCGACTTGGCTCGAGTACGGCTCATTAACGGCTCGCCTCGTCTGGAATCGAGCTAGCTCGCCAATTCGTAGAGAGTATGAGCCGAGTTCGAGCCTGCCTCAACTCAACTCGTTAGCTCACGAGCCAAGCCAGGCTCGAATTATTAGGAGCGTTTTAGGAGTTTTATTAAGTATAGGGGATTAAATTAAAATTTTAAAAACAAAAAGTTTGTAAAAAGACAAAGAACACCGATGTTAAAATCCTTAAAAACGCGACTAAAACATTTCCCTTAAAACCAACCAAACCATTTGAGGCAAGTTGTGGGCATTAGATTTGGTGGAGAGTGCAGGAAACAAGGAAAAAAGGAAAGAAATCAGAGTTGGTGTGAGAGTGCAGGGGAAACAAGGATAAAGAATGAAAAAGAAAAAGAAAATGGAAAAAAAGGAGAAGAAGGAAAGAAAGAGAAAATTTGTATGCTTTTTACTGGCTCGCAAGGGAAACAGGAGAAAGAAAGAAAGAAAGGGAAAAATGAAGAAGAGAGAGTCGTGAGCAGAAAGAAGGAAAGAAGAGAAAAAAAGAAGAAGAGAAATCGTGAGCACAAAGAAGGAAAGAAAGGGCAAAAAGAAGAAGAGAGAATCGTGAGCATTGGAGTCGAGAGAAGAGAGAAAAGAAGAAAGCAATCAATGTGAAGAGAGAGTGATAAATGAGAGAAGAAAAGAAAGAGTAATAAATAAGTGAGTGAAAATGATCTGGCCGAATTTAAAAAAAAAAATTTTTTT